CCCCCCCCGTGTTTCTTTTCCTTTTTGTTGTTGTTGTGTACCGTCGAGTCGGATCTGACTGGCACAGGAGGAAATTGCCCCTCCTATAGTAGAGCATCTGGATTTGAACCGTGTGCAATCGAGTATAATCCTTTTCTTGACATTTAAAATAAAGCGTAATAATCCCATCTCTGCTTGTGTCAAATAGCTAATAAGGAACTAAAAATTATTTGAAAGACGTGAATTGTCGTGTAGACATTGTATGTGTGTCCTCTTCAATGTTGCCATCACTCACATATAACTTGTAATCACAGGTATTGCAAAAATCTTAAAAGTAGGAGCCATAACTTAAACCTTTTCTGCTACATGCATGTCATACTAACAGATTTTGAGTAAAGATAGTTGGAGTAATAGCAAGTCTGCCAATTCCTTGTAACTTTTCAGGATTTACTAATTCTAAACATTTCTTACTATTCTTTTTCCTCTCTCCCCCTTTCTGATTTAGGTGATGTCTTTCCAGTGCAAATGAATTTAATAGCTCAATCTCAGTTTATTCCTTTGGCTGAAGTTCTTTGCTGTGCTATATCTGATATGAATGCTGCTCAAATCATAGTATCCCAGGAATCACTACAGGAACATTTGGTGAAACATTATCCAGGTAGAGTAATAAGTTTTCCACTATTATCAGCTCATATAATGTTCTTGGTTTGTGTTTATAAACTTAAACACATAAATAGACTGAAGTCATATATTTTCTCACCCCTCCTTTTCTTTCCTTCTCTAGAAACTGGTATCGGAATCCTAAAGGCGTATATCAACAAATCTTTTACTTTTCGAATGAGCTTAAAAAAATGCTTATAGCAATTAAGAAATAGACTCTCTAGCAGAGATTGCAAAGTGAAAAGGAAAACTTAGATTTTTCCCACCTTCTGAATCTCTCTCATACTTCCCAGAGGTCACAATTACTACTTATAGTTTCTTATGCATACTTTCATAAATTCTATTTGGCTCTATGTTTTCTCCCTTTTATATATTTTGGTCATCCCGTACGTGGTTCTTCATGTTTTTCCCCCTCTACACTTTTTTCAAACTTAAAATTTTATCTTGAAGGCCTTTCCATCTGTTTCACAACTTTAATAGCTACATACTCTTTCAGTATACACATGTAGAAAAGTATTTTTAATTTTTGATTACTATAAAAAAGTTTGTCTATTCTAGAATAAAAATTAAGGAAGTAATCACTCATAGGACCATCACCCAAAGAAAACCAGTTAAAATATTGCTATATTTTTACTAAAGTGTTTCATACAAATTTTTAATGTAGTTTTCAGTACAATGTTAACCCTACTATTTATTTGGTGAAAAAATAATTTCTCTTAAAATTATTTTGCTACCTTTCCAGGTTAAAAAAAAAAAAGATTCATACCTAAATGTTTTAAAGCTTCTTGCCTCATTTTTTTTCTCTAGATTTGTATAAAGATTTCAGTCATTGAGACTGTGGTTTCAAAAATGTCCGTGTTGCTTTTTCTTTCTGTTTCTGCTGAGAGCATGCTGTAAGGTTTGGATTCACCCGCTATCCAGGGGAACTATACCCTTTCCCCCTCTTCTTTCATTTTCCCTTTAACTCTTTTGCGTAACCTACCTTTTACTAGCTAGTCTTATTGCCATAGTAAATAATTTTCACTTGTTTTGCCAAAACCAAAAAACCTCCATCTTTGTTTACAAAGAACACTTTCTCAGTCACATTTTAAATTTCTGTTTTCATAGCTTCGAGTATTTGTGTTGATTCATATTTTCTTCAACAATATCTTGGTTTAAATTCATATTCCTCTTAATAAATTATGTGTTGCTGCTTCTTTGGCACTTTTGTTTTCGATATTAATTTTATTACACATACTTAATTATGTATTGAAATAATCCAAAAAATGTGCAGTCATTTCTAAATTACTTATTTTTGTCATTAAAATGTTTCTTATTGAGAGAGTGGGGGAAGGAAAAGAAGTTTCTTATTCAAAAGCACCTTGTGTTAAATGCGTATTTGTTTTAGGCATTGCGGTTCCATCTCAAGATATTCTCTATGCCACTCTGGGAACTCTGATTAAAGAAAGGAAGATTTACCACACAGGAGAAGGATACTTCATAGTTACTCCTCAGACTTATTTTATCACAAATACAATTACTCAAGAGAAAAAGACAGTCCTGTCAGATGCAAGTCACCCAGCGTCCATTACCTATCTGGTGAGCGTGGACAGCTCTGGAGAATTATCCAGAGAAGGCGCTGCCCCTGTTTCCCATTGTCAGTCTTGCCAGTGCTTTCCTGATGTGTATACTCAGGTTGTACAACAATCACAGACTGCTGTAGAAGTGACTAGAACGGGCCACAAGGGTCTTGGAGAATCTAAACCTATGGTGCAGAATCAAACTGTCTCAGTGTCTGAGGACAGTCATGTTTGTGGTAGGACCAAACCTTTAATGTATACAAAAGACCGAGGAAAAGGCAAGAAGTTTGGCTTTAGTCTCTTCTGGCGCAATATATCCAGAAAGGAGAAACCCAAAGTGGAGCACAGCAGCTTCTCTGGCCAGTTCCCACCTGAAGAATGGCCTGTCCGAGATGAAGATAACCTGGACAATATCCCACGAGATGTTGAGCATGAGATAATAAAACGGATTAACCCCATTCTAACTGTTGAAAACTTAATCAGACACACTGTCCTGATGCAAAAATATGAAGAACAGAAAAGATATAATAGTCAGGGAACTTCCACTGATCTGCAGACAAATAGGCATAGATATGCTTCAAAAGAGGGAGGGAAGAAAAGGCAGAGTCGGTCTGCAAAACCCCGAAGGCAGGGCCATTCTCAGAGAGACAGGCACAGAGGCAAGAGTCAAACAAGTGAGCCTCAGCCAAGAAGCATCAGGCACGAGAAACACCCACAGCTCCCGGCTGCACAGTCCACCCCCAGAAGTAAAAGTCCAAGTGCAATCATTCATAAACCAGCTGGTCAGACTCCAACAGGGCTCAGCCCCCATTTGATTTATAAAAGGCGAATCAGCAATCCTTTCCTGGGTTTGCCTCACAGAAGAAGCTCGGTGGCCAAAGGACACAGCAGTCAGAAGACAAGTGATCTGAAAGTCAGTCAGGGTGGACCAAAAGAAAGGATCTTCCGACGGTCAAGGTCTTTCAATTCCTCGAGAAACTATGAACCCAAACGACCGTTCGCTGAGCAACCTAAACTGAAGGCAGAATCAGTCTGTAGCAGCAACTCTGTCAAACCAGTCAGTGATGACTTCAGAGGCCACCGTCCAGGCAAGGGTTGTGGTTTACAAATTGATTGTAAATGCTGTTCCTTCAGGGAAGGCCTGTTGGGACATGATGTGTATGGTGAGGAAAACAAGGCAGTTTCTGAGGTTCTGAGGAAAAATTGTCCTCACTCTGAAAAGTTTGAGGAGACAAAAGAAGGACAGCATATCCTGGCATCACAAGATCCCTGTTCGCTAGACCAAGCTCCCCCTGATGGTGAGCTCATTAGCAGCACAATACAACAGTTCCAAAAACTTGGCCTTTTGGATTACCCAGTCGATGGGAACCATTTGAGACAACAAAACAGAGACTTGGAAGGGCTAATGAGAAAGCCTTTTATCCAGAACACAGAGCATGCTGATTTAGGAAATGAAGGGCTTTCTGACAATGAGCATGCCTTGTACGAGAACAAAGTGGAAGATGATGATGGTGCTTGCAGCTCATTATATCTAGAGGATGATGACTTTTCAGAGAATGATGACTTGGGTAAAGTGTTGCCTGGTCGTACTCAGTATTACTTTCCAGGTGGAAGTAAGTGGGGTTGTTTAGGAACACAAACCGTGACTGGATTATCTGTCCCCGAGTACAGCAGTGAAATACCTGAGTTTGCGCCTCAAGTGCTTAATGGCAATGACTGTTACAAACCCCCTGGTGGGTTGCTCACTAACACAGGTGAAAGCCAAAGGCTCAGTCTCTCTACTGAAGGCAGTGGCTTCAATTCAGGGACTAGATTTGCCTTTAACTATGAAGAGGAACCCAATGTTGCTAAATGCTCACAGACCCCAGTGTTGGATGATGGACATATGTTTGATTACTGTAGTACAAGGAAAGCCCATCCTGAAGCTGAAACCCTGCAAGACTCAGCTGGTGATGCAGGAAGGAAACCAGTTACTTGGATTACAAGTCCTCAGAATCAGGAAATGAGAAAACATTTCAAACAGAAGTTAGAACTTTTTAGTTCTTCACGTGTGCCAGTGTTGACCCAAGACATCCAACATGAAGACAGTCCCTTGGAAGGAACAGAAAATCATAGCATGGCAGGAGACAGTGGAATAGATTCCCCTCGGTAAGTGCACTTAAGGGGTTTTCATTAGCCTTTGTCCTAAAAGAATTATTAACATCAAAGGTATATTAAGTTATTCAGTGTGAGATTGCTGGATAAAATTTGTATAGGGATGTAATTCTACCACCCTTTCTTTAATGGATAAATGGTACAAAATTTCAATGAAGTCCCTTACATAATAGGATAAACATTTTTAATGCAGTTTCACTGACCCATTATGTCTTGAAAGATTGCTAAAATCAGAAAACTTGGTTATAAGATTTTGCTTATATCCCTGGGTCTACATAGGCTGAGAAAGAATGACTTGGTGCAAGACACTTAATTTCTTGATGCTGATTTCCCCAGTTTTAATATTCAGATAGCCAAATTGCTCTTGAATAATTTGAGAAGTTAATTTTCTAAAAAATGGCTTATAATATGGTTTTGTTGAAGAGGTATATGCTAAAAGATATTTAGAGGAAAGGGAAAAGAAAATAGCATTAGAGCATCATCTATGTCCCAGAATTGTATTGTTTAGTGTAATTAAGGAGACCAATCAACAGAAAAATGCAACTTGAGAAAAAGTGTACATTCTCCATAACTACTGAATAGATGTAGATTTCACAGTGCTAGACTCTGTAGAAGAAAATTTAGTGGAGGATAGATTGTTGAGACACAGCTTAATGTACTGTGTAAGTGGTAGGAAGTGGGAAAAGAGGAATGCCAAAAGCAAAAATAACCAAACATTAATGCGATTTGCCTGAAGCAAGGTAGCGGTATTAGATAAGGCACTAAAATAGCTCCCAGCTCCCAGGAAAACAACATTGTCAGAATGAAAAATATTGTAGTCTGCTTTTCCAGTCTATGTGACTTCCCAGAAACAAAAATAAATTACACAGAAAAAACTGATCACACTTCAGTTGTGTAGATGACTTTTTCAAGGAACTTTTTAGTTTCCGACTAGAATATATATGAAGCACAATCTGAGAACAGATTCTGTTCAGATATGACCTTCTTAGAAAGCAACTTACAAGGTGTTACGGTGATGCCTTTAAAATATCAAACCAAAAATCCCCAAACTTGATGCTTTTGAGTCAATTTGGATTCATGATTTCTCCACATATCACAGGAGAGCATGCCACAGGAGATTGCCAGGCTTTTCTTTAGAGGTGCCAATGCAAACTGTCAACCTTTACATTAGCAATTAAGTGTCTTAGTGTTTGCACTACCCAGCACACGTATTGAATACTAGTGTTGATTCTAATTATAGAGACACAAAAGGACAGGAAAGCCCCAGAGAATTTCCTAGGCTGTAACGTGTACAGAAGCAGATTGTCAGGTTTTTTCTCCCAGGAACCTGTTGAGTAGCTTCAAACTTTGGACCTCTCAGTTAGCAGCAGAGCTCTTAACCATTGTACTACCAGTGTTCTTTGTCTAGCACACACAGAAACACATTGCCAAAGAGTTGGTGCCAGCTACTCATGTCAACCCTTCATTGGATTTCTGAAATCATAAATCTTAATGGGAGTATGCCTTATCTTTTTCTTTTGCATAGACTAATGGATTCCAAGGCTGATGGATTCAAAATGCTGATCTTTTGATTAGTTGCCCAATCCCTTCTGACCTATGCCATCAGAGTTCCTTCCTAGAAGATACTCATTGCCATCAAGTTAGAACACACGCATAAATGACCCTCCAGCAGGTGTCCAAGGCTCTATACCACACAGGAAGAGACTGCCCATCTTCCTCTCTCAGAACTGCTAGTAGATTGGAACTGTCAGAGAGACCTAGCCTTTGTGTTTAGCAGTGCAACTCTCTGTGGAGTAGGGGCCACCAGAGCTCCCTTCTTAGTACTAGGAGGCATGAGGTAAGATACCTGTTGAAAACTTTAGATGATGCTGCATGTCAGTTTATATGAGAGATGTTACTTACTATTGTACTTCCTTCAGAGTTACAAATGAAATGATAATGCTTCAACTGCAAATACAGGTCCCTTATAAAGGTAATAATTGTTATTTTTAATGTCTTTAGGACACAGAGTCTGGCATCTAGTAATTCAGTCTTCATAGAAGAAATGAAAAGAAGACAGAATTTTCTGCAGAATTCTGAAGGCACAAAAAGCAATCAAGCATTCACATCCAATCCTTTACTACAGTTAACTCCAGTCATAAATGTTTAGTTCCTATTTTTCTTTCTAAAGCAATTTGTAAACATGTATAGCATTACTATAGAATGTCTTTTATAAGGATCCTCTAAAATTAAGCATATATGCTATTAATTTCAATATATATTTTGTACTTGTTACTGACTTTCCCCCTTTGACATTTAAAATTTTATACTAGTTTATTTACAAAATCCGAATACATTGTTTTTGAGAACAGATTCTTTCCATTTCCCTCATCCCCTCAACCATCAAATTGTACAACCCCAAGATTAATCCCATCTGACCCCTGCACATCTTCATCCCTCTTCTTCCACCCTCTCCCACCCCTCTTGGATTCTTATACTCATTCTACAATAATCATTTTATACAATATTTATCCTTGTGAGACTGAGTTAGTTCACTCAACATAATGTTCTCCAGTCCCTCCCAAGTTAGGTAGTAATTTACAAAATCATTTCTCCTGTATGCTGCATAGTATTCTATTGTGTGAATATACCATAATTTTTCAGTCTATTCATTTGTGGTTGGACATTTGGGCTATTTCCATGTTCTTGCAATGGTGAATAATTTTAAAGCCTTTGTTTTTGTTTAATTTTACCTTGGATTTGTTGGGAATATACAGTTTGAAATAAAGAGAAACACCTTTTACAGAGAAACCGAACTAAGTTTGAAGACATTATAGTTTCTTGAATACATGTTGTTTGGAACCACTGACTGGGCTCTGACTTATCATGACCCTGAGTATGGACAGAATAGAATGGAACCCTGCCTAATCCCATGTCACCCTAACTATCTTTGCTGTGCCCAGTGTTGAAGTCACAATGTCAAGCCATCTCAGTGAGGGTCTTTTATATTTTCCTGGCCCCTCTCTTTTCAAAGCATAGTGTCCTTCCTTCAGGAATTCGCTCCTCCTGATAACATGCCCAAAATATGTGAGACAAATTCTTACCATCTTTACTTCTACAATGTTTGATTATTCACAAACACCACAATTTGAAGACATCAGTTATTCTTTGGGCTTCCTTACTCACTGTCCAGGTTTCACACACATATGAAGCAATTGAAAATACTATGTCCTGAGTCAAGAACATAGTACTCTCTAAAAAACTTCTTTGAAAAGTGCTAAAAATCAAGGATGTCTCAAATCATGGAATGGTCATTTTCTATCTAGTATAAGTGTATCTTACTGTTTTTTAACACAGATTTCAGGAAATAGTAAGGTCATGTAGGTACTTTATAGCCAGAAGCCTTCTAACACCGTCAGAATCAATAGTGATGCTTCGGTGCTTGATAAAAATTTCCTCATTCCCAATTGTGGCTGCTCAGGATCTTCTCTGTATCAGCTTTAAAAAGAACAAGTTGCTCCACATTGTGTCTGGCAAAGTCCCAAAGGCCCGTGGAAACAGATATTTGGCTCTACTATTCCCCACATTTCAAGTTCTCTATAAAGAGCAAGGGCTTCATGGATATGGCCACACCTCACTTTACCAGCTTCACAGATGCACACTGTCTACGTCAACAATGCAGAACCAGTTCCCATGAGGTCAGACATGTCTTTTTTTTTTCACCTCTTTTTGTTCATCCCAACACCAATGTGGGTCCAAAATCTGACGTGATAGCTCACAGACCACACAGAGCCATATTGGAGAAGCCAAAAGGTTATAATCCATGTTGGTACTAGGATATTATCAGTGAGGGCAGATTCTGAAATATGCTTGCAGTTGCTTCAGCCTCGAGCGTCACAGCTTTATGCCAGTGTTATAAAGCTGTCAGTCCTGCCACTTATGGCTTTCCTCTACCCTCACCAGTTCTCCAAGAGACTTGGGCAAAGGCTCTTGGTTCCAATTCCATGGCATAGCAGTCCCAAGTTCCCATCTCCTGTCAGGTCTCTGGTTCTCTGTCTCCTGTCAGGTCTGTTCTCTGCTGTGGCTGCTATAGATGCTGCTCCCATAGGTCCTAGGTCTGGCTGGTGCAAGAATCTGTTTCTCTGAAGGACACACTACATTCCTCTTGGTTTCTTCTTTGCTGGTGAGGAAGATTCTTCAGTTCTGCTGCAGGATATTCTGCTCAATTTAGTGGTGAAGACTAGCCAAGCCCCTTGTGAATTGGTGAGAGGTACCATTGTGTCTAGGCTAACACATCCTACTCACATATCCCTGCCCATCTACATGGCAAAGTAAGTTAATGGATAGGGAAGCCATTTTGAACGATAATAAACCCTTAACATCACAGGTGTTCTCTCTTAGTGTGGCAATGAGAAGCCAAGATAGTGTCAGCTGCACATGAAGCATAGCTGTTTTCAGCATCCTGGGTCGATACCTCATGCTAGCATATGGTTGAGGAAGATGGTTTTTCAAAACAAGTTTGCCTAGAATTCCTCCATTTAGTCTTTGGAGAAAAGATTATGGAATATCTCCTCAATCAAAATCTAAATATGCCTGGAGGAGCTATGTCTTTAGATATAACAAGTTGTCGGTTATATCTTATCCTGTTATTAGGTGTTGTCAAGTTGGCCCTGATTCATAGCCAGCCCATGTATAACAAAATGAATTGTTGGCTAGTCCTACACCATTCTTGCTATCATCAGTATGTCCGTGTGCACCGTTTCAGTCAGCTTGTCAATCCACCTCTTGCTGGCCCTCTACCAATGTCAGAGGTCCTTTAAATGTTTTCTTAGCTGGAATCTCAGATCTCTAGGGTCCTCAAGAACATTCTGAGAGCTATTTTGACCATCCTAATGAAAACTGGGGAGCTCAGGTGGCCTAGTAATAAGGAGCTTCGCTGCCATCCTGAAGACATGCAGTTCAAATTCACAGCAGCTTTGTGGGAGGAGGATGAACAGTCTGCTCCTATGCAATTTACTGCCTCTGAAAACCTGCTGGAGGGTCAAGCTATGAGTTGGTTCCGACTCAATGGCACACAAAAACAGCAATAAGAACTGATAATGTCCTATGTCTATGGCTACTCTTGGCATAACTACAACCTCAGGTTACTTTGCCTGTGGCTGAAAATATCACTCCATAATAAAACAGCTCTGGTGGTCTAGGAGTAAGAAGTTGAGCTGCAATCCCGAAGGCTCTGCGGGGGTGGGGGTGGGAGCGCATGGGCAATCTCCTCCGGTGCTATTAACAGCTTCAGAAAATCCGCCAGAGGGCCAGCTATGTGTCAGTTCCGACTCTATGGCACACAACAACAACAACAGCGCTCTGATGGTCAAGGGCTTAGCTGCCAAAGAAAAGGCTCAGAAAATAAAGCCACCTTGCTAGCACCAGCAAATTTTGTGAAAAGGTATATGCTAAAGAATGAACCCTTTCGTACTGCTAGGTTTCCAAAAAGCTGTTTCTAACCCATCAGCTGCTCCACTGGAAAATCAGTCTGCTCCTGGTAAAGATTACAGCCTTGGAAACCCTAAAAACTTGCATAGTTTTAGTCCTGTGGGTTGCTAGTGTGCTTCCATAGCGTGGTGGTCAGGAGCTGTGCTGCTACCCTGAAAGCAGGCAGTTCAAATTCATCAGCAGCTCCAGGGGAGTTATTGTTGATTGCCACTGAGCGTGACTCATAGTGACCCATGTACAAAATACCAGAAGCCTTTCTATAGCTATTGTCATTTCTCAAAGGTCATAGAGTTTCCAGAGACATGTTGTTTAGGAAGTGGATGCCACAATTTCCTACTTCCCACTTGCCGTGTACAATTTATAACCAATGAAAACCCTTGAACAAGCAACGTAGGTTGGTATGAGTCACAATTGACTAGATAGCAATGTTTTTTGTTATTACATGTTCATGTGAAACTGTTAAGCTGCATCTATATATTTTTCAGACTAGAAAATGCTGAACTGAATGCAGCGAGTGGATAAAATGTCTAAAAATGTCAGATCCTTTAAGAAAAAAACCAATTCAAAGAGCCCTTAGTAACAAGATTGAGAACCACTGTGTTGGGTTTGGTTTCTTTTTTTCAGTCTCAATGGTTTCACTAAGTCTCTACTGGACCTGACTTTTTTTTTAACACCTTTTTATTGGTTTGCTTACATTCATCACATTGTGTTACACCCAATCATTCTCATGCATTATGTTTTATAAAATTAATCACCCTTGGACCTTGCCCATCATTATTCTTCTTTTCATCCAGGACTACTGTTTTGAGAACCTGTGTACAGCTACCTAAAATTTTTTTGGGGAAGCAGGTAATAGAGGCTTGGAGAGTCATGAAATAGGACTGGAGTTATCAAAGACAAACATGACTTTTTTGCTGGCCTCTTAGAGCTTTTCCCCATTTAGTACTCCATAAACATAGTCCTTTTCTATCAGTTTTTGTTGTTGTTACTGTTAGGTGCCGTTGACTCTGACTCACTGGGTCTATAAACAGTTCTGAACCTAGTTCTATCTGTGCCATCCTCACTGTCTCTGATATACTGAAGCTCATTGTTATTCACTGTGTCAGTCCATCTTGCTGAGAGTCTTCCTTTCTTTCTCTGACCCACTGCCTCTCCTGCCATGAGATGTCTTTCCAAGCCTCCTGACAGGATGCCCAAAGTATATGAATCCAAATTTCACTATCTTTACTACTTTTGTCAAGTTGGATACCGTTAAGTCAGAACCAAGTCATAGCTGACCCTATGACTTAAGTTTGCAAACGCAGTAAGTTGCACAGGAAGTTTCCCATCTTTTTTCTGCCGTACAACTGACAGATTCAAACTGTATACCTTTGAGTTGGCAGTGTAGTTCTTTACCACTAGGTCACCAGAACTCGGAGGAGAAGCTTCCAAGTATTTCTTTTATAATGGTGCCCTCTTCTGGAGTAACTGATGTGAACTCTGACCCACCCTCCTCTTCAGAATATCTACTTGTGAGAATTTGTAATTAATTTTAATTAGAAGCTAGACACATAAAGTATATATATGTAAATGTATTTAGAGCTTTCTCCTTTTCCAGCCTCAAAACCATGAGTAAAAGTGAAAATGTAAGCTATTTTATCAACCCAGTAGCCCTACACTCTCAAGGCAAACATTATTATT